ATTTATATATATATAATTAATATAAAAATTAAATATATCAAAATATAATATATATAAATACTACACATAAATGTAATAAATATAATTAAAAATATAAATATAAAATATTAAATAATAATTTAAAAAATTATATTGCATTAAAACATGCACAGATTATAGACGAGTGTAATAAATAATACAAACACGGGTATATTTTAATTCTATGTAGGTAAAGTAAATTTTCTTATAAATAATTTCTCTTGCTTTTCCTATTTTCTACACATTGATAAATCTTATTAGTTCCTTTTTGATAGACTTTTATAATGCAATAAATAAATATAATTTAAGTAAAATATTAATACTTATATAATACAAAAATATAATATTATATATAATAAAAGAGAGATAAACTTTGAAATACAATATACTTTTAGTTTCGCATGTTTGGTTTGTTAATTTTTTATTTTATTTTTTGTTACATAATATATAATAAACACGACCAAATAATTAATATATTGTTTATTTGATAATAACGTCAATCATAATGGTTTCTTATACTAATGGAAATCTCGTATTTGAAATCTCTATTGTTCCTCAATAAGTCTTAGCAACGGCTAAGGAAATTTCGTGCTTTGTGCACATGTGTAAGACGGCAAAAAATTAAATTTTATCGTCTTCGCGCACGTACATTCGCAGTAGGCTGATACAGCGTGAACCATATCTTTTTTTGCTATTATTTAATATAAATAATAATATAAGTTATCGTTGTTTTTTATCGTGTTATTCTTTTTTCTATTTCAACCGAATGGTCCGATGATAGGATCAAAACGATCATAAATAATAAATAAATTAGATTTCTAATTAGTATATTTATATTGAAATGTTTTTTTTATTGTTATTATTATTCCAATAAATTTGTAAAATATTATTTCATAAATATAGAATGTAAAAGTAATAGTATATGGTTATCGTTAAATAATAGAATTATAAAACGAGATATAAAATATATTGCTTTATCTGCTACTACCTTTAGTATTATTATGTATATTCTTGATGTAAAATTTAATTATAATTTAAAATTTTTTCAAGATTGTACAATTTCTACAATAAGGCAAGAAAATTGATATTTCGATGATGTATCTTCTAAGCTGTATTTAAGCCTCAGTCAGAATTGAACGAAAAGACGTCGAATCGATATCGATTCGAACAATTTGACATCAATTCGAGGTCGATTCGACGCCGATTTAACTATTATTTCTAACTCGGACATTTTTTCTTCTAATTTTAGATGGCCCAATGGCAAAAAATATTACGATAAGATATCTAAATATGAAATATATGAGCTAAATCTAAAAGATATTTTGGAATTTGAGGAGAAATCTTTAGTAAAATATTAAGTTTTTAACAAAATTTTTAATATAAATTCTTTTTTGTCTGAAAATTTTTAACATAAAAATATTTAATTTTTAAAAAATTCTTGTTACGTACGATTTTTATATATTCAAATATATTCGTGCCGAACTCACATACGTCCACTATCACAAGACATACACACCAACAAGAACATTTGATTAAAAGCTGATTGTGGGCAGCGCAACGTAGCGCTCGTCAGCTGATCGGTAGCGGTGCGCTAACCAGGCGCTCATCAGCTGATCGGTAGTTGCGAACTAACCAGGCGCTCATCGGCTGATCGGTGCTACAGGCGCTCATCAGCTGATCGGCGCTATTCGGTGTACGTTAGCACGAGCATGCGACCGCCGCGGGTTGGCCCCCAGAGCGCGAATAAGCTTTTTCCGCCGTTGCAAGCGGTTACCTTTAAGAGTATTGAAAACGCACTCTTGAATACACTTTATGAGATTATTATCGACGGTGCGTAAAAACGCTGTTGTTTGGTTTTTTTTTCAGATAACATAAAGTTTTCAAAAGATTCGTGTTTCTTTCGCCGATAGATCGTCTAGCGATTTTTACCGCGCCGTCGGATGAATTCTTCGACGACGATGATGCCGGTTGCGATTTTTTTTCTTTTTTTACCATCGCAGAGTAATTGCACGAGTGACAAGTCGTGTATGAATACGATTCTTTTATACGCCTCTGCCTCTTTTGATCGATCTACTTAGTTGGGAAAGATACACGTCCGAAATCGATATTCATCTGGAGTCGATTGTTTTAAATGGAGCAATAAATACCGGTGAGGCTTCTAGGTAGCGTCGTAGTACGCTTCTTCCATAAACTTAGGATCGTCCGGATATACTTGACGCGCTAAATGCCGAATTTGCGCGCGATCGCGTGGATTTTTGAAAACTACTATGTAATTCGCATTGAGAGATATGTCGCGTTGTCCGCGTCCCTGATGGAAGAAATTTTGCGAAATGAGAATATCACTGAGATTCTTATGATGACTTCCTTTAGTAAACAGATCTACGATAACATCGCACGATGACGACTCTCTCATAAGATCGTCGATTATCACTAATTTCGGGGTGAGTGGATCGTAAGAATAATCTTCCGGGCGCGGTAAACCCTCGTGAAATTCGATTATATTTTTCTTCGAGTTTATCGGAACGTTATTTGCATATACGTTCTTTTTTCTTACACTACTCTTCTTTTCTCTTTCATTTTCATCGCATTGCAGGCGTTGATAGGCATCTTGCCACTCGGCGTAATAAAATAAAATTCTCTCGAATCGAGCATCGGACACGTCGGACAAATAACGAAGAAATGTTTTCACGAAAATCGTTTTTCCACATCCCGTAGGCCTGCAGACGATCGACGTCCAAGGATGTTTCCAGCGCACATCCATTTCCCGAAAATGAACGCGATATTCACCGTTTACGTACAATCTCGTAAATGAAAGAAAGTCTAATCCGGGACGTTTTTAAAAACAAAAAATTAGCGTAAAGAGCGTACGCGTATTTAAATTTTAATATTACTCATAGTATGAAATAAGTACGGCGAAAAAAGCTTATTTGCGCACCAAAAACCGACCCGCGGCGGTCGCATGCTCGTGCTAGCGTACACCGAATAGCGCTGATCAGCTGATGAGCGCCTGTAGCACCGATCACCCGATGAGCGCCTGGTTAGTTCGCAACTACCGATCAGCTGATGAGCGCCTGGTTAGCGCACCGCTACCGATCAGCTGACGAGCGCTACGTTGCGCTGCCCACAATCAGCTTTTAATCAAATGTTCTTGTTGGTGTGTATGTCTTGTGATAGTGGACGTATGTGAGTTCGGCACGAATATATTTGAATATATAAAAATCGTACGTAACAAGAATTTTTTAAAAATTAAATATTTTTATGTTAAAGATTTTCAGACAAAAAAGAATTTATATTGAAAATTTTGTTAAAAATTTAATATTTTACTAAAGATTTCTCCTCAAATTCCAAAATATCTTTTAGATTTAGCTCATATATTTCATATTTAGATATCTTATCGTAATATTTTTTGCCATTGGGCCATCTAAAATTAGAAAAAAAAATGTCCCAGTTAGAAATAATAGTTAAATCGGCGTCGAATCGACGTCAAATTGATGTCAAATTGGTCGAATCGATATCGATTCGACGTCTTTTCGTTCAATTCTGACTGAGGCTTAAATACAGCTTGGAAGATACATCATCGAAATATCAATCTTCTTGCCTTATTGTAGAAATTGTACAATCTTGAAAAAATTTTAAATTATAATTAAATTTTACGTCAAGAATATACATAATAATACTAAAGGTAGTAGCAGACAAAGCAATATATTTTATATCTCGTTTTATAACTCTATTATTTAACGATAACCATATACGGTAAACAATAAAACATATACCATGTATAAAAATCTATATTAATAAAATTAAATATTAACCTGAGAATGATTTCAATTTGTGTGCTTGAGATAGTTTGATTGATTTATATGCTACATCTTGTTCACAATGAGAAATAATGTCCGTTTTTGTATCCCTTGTCACTCTTTATCTCGTAACGTTCCAATGATTTATTACAGCTGAAATTTTGTTTCTGACAAGATATTCTAATAATTAATAATATTAGATAACTCTTACAAGGGAACGGTCGGAAGTGATCCTCACCGATTTTAATGAACTTGGAATATGTTTTAGAGTTTAGAGCATTGAAAAATATTAGACCTGTATTTTTTTAGCTGCGTATCTCGACATTTAAGGGGTAAAACACCCTCTTGAAAAAAATTGTATTTTTTTATTTTTGAGCTAATACCGTCGAAACAGTATAAGATATAAAAAAATGTTTGAAATAAAAGTTATAAAGATTTTTAATGTTCTTTGAACCGTGCAATCAAATTAAGGACAGGGGGCGGGGTACTTGACATTTTTGAGAAATTTGACATTTTTAAAAAATTTTATTACATTGTTTGATACTTTGAAATTAGCATTTTAAAATCTTTCAATATTTAGATGACGTAAAATGTGTTATTATTTTGTTTTAGTATTTAATTGCGCTGAAGATGATCAAAAAACAGATTACAATGTACGTCTTTCTTCTTGATATGATACATTTCGCATCCTTCGAAACGTAAAACTTACAACATTGCGATAGTCATGCAGAGAACGACTTTTCAAGGTGTAGAAAATATAGTTGATTGTGTGAACGCTAATTTAAATCACCTAAATTTTATTTCAATTAATGTCAACGAATGTGCTCGATATTTAATTAACGAAATACAGTTAAATCTTCCTGTCAACGGTAGCATCAATAACCGTATCGTGAAACTCACGATCAGAAGTAACAGTAAGGAAATAGAACGTAATGTACGCACCCAGCTGAAAGTTTTAACATTTCTCGATGTATACTTTGAGATAACATTTTTAGAAATAATTTCATTGTATTTCGAACAAATTGTACATGCAATCATATCAAAACGTAAATGTTAATAATTATTTGACGAATATTTTCTTGAAATGTTTGTGATCAATTTTGTTCTGTAAAAAATAGCTTAAAACATGTTTTGATTGTATCTTTTAATGATTATGACTTCAAATAATTGGCATTTAAACAGAGATTTTTTATAAGCATTTATTGTGCAATATTTATTATTTATTTTGATTACCGACGTAATGTCGATGTAACATTATTCACATTTTTTCTCTCTATAAGCTTGAGTATTTTGTCATATATGAGTTTGGGCGCATCCTTGGCCCACAAAAAATCCACATGATTAAATTTCGGCCACGGTACTTCGTAAATATCCACTACATTAGGCAACGCCTGAGAGAGCCTCTTTACATCCTTAAAAAATGACAGATAAAATAACTATATTATCGCAAAATTTTCACATTTTTATCGACAAGAATAATTTATTATTTTCTAAATTTTATTTACTTTCTTTTAAATATTTTTCCACAATTTTATGTATAAAACTTGACTCTATAAACAATTCGCGTGAATCAATATCTTTTTCCCACATACACATATTTTTTCTCTAAATCTAAAAAATGTTTTTTTTTAATTTTATATGTACGAAGCTTGACTTGATAGTACCATCAGATCGAATTAATGCATGCTTCTTCCTCTGTTTCTCTCCTACGTGATTTATCCGCTCATGCATTCTTTAGCTACTCACCGCGATATTAATTATCCAGTCGCCAGAACCGTAGATCAATGCGATTGGTACCGTGATATTTGCCAGATTGTAGTTCGGAGGTACCGGTGAATGATACTTTAACAGATTTTTCTCACGACCGTAATCATATTGGCAAAATCTGCCCGATTTCAGCTCCTGACCGAAATGCAGAAGCGTCTTGGATGAGGTTCCGGCCGGATCGTGATTCAGAATGACAGGCAGTAGATTCTAAACAGGGAACAAGGACGTGTATGTGAAGTCCAATCAGGAGGTTTCGATCGGGAATCATTACTCACGTAGTCAAACTGCTCGCGATCGTAACCGCATATCATAAATATTATGTTGGCGCAGATTTTCTTCTCGATGGTATACTTGTTGCAACCGTATTTTGTGAGAAACTTCAGGAAAAAATTCTGCGGCAGAACCTCGTCGTGAAAAAAATATCGCAGCAGCATCTGCAATCAAAGATCTCTAATTTGTATAAAATTCTGCTGAAGTTCACGTTTTGTGGCAGTATTTTTTGGGAATACTTAAGCATTTTTTTTAAATGGGATAATGTATGGTAATTTCTAATGAGTTGCTTCGATGTTAATTTTATCTCTAAAAAAACATCTGGTTTTTTAAATTGAAGATTAAGAATATATGTACCAACAGAATACATAAAATATAAATGTAAAAGGAAAATATTTGTATTTAATTTATAAACGTTATAAGCTTTTACATATTGAAAACAAATTGAAATAGTCAATTAATACGTCAGGAATTGCATAGAATAAAAAGTGCAAAACAAGATAATTCTGCATTTACGAATTTATGAAAAAACTGAGAAAATCTCATTTTTATTTATTATTTACAAAATTTTGGAGATTGAAAAAATTTATTTACAATGTTTAAAAAAAGAATTTTTTTATTAAGATATTATAAGATTCAATATTATTAAAATTTTTGTATGCTTCATATCAATAGGAACATTAATATAGAAATGATATCACTTTTATAATATTATTAATAATAAAAAATTTAATAGTAATAAAATAGGAAAATGTATTTAAAAATATAAATTTTATATGAGTGTGTGTATATATTTTATATAACTTTATATAATTTTATATAAGTGTGTATATGTTTTATATGATTTGTATAACACAAATTATATAATTTTAAATGTAACTTGTACAATTAAAAAATATTTACTTTTTGCACCATTTATGCGATTTTGTGTGTAATAGATATATATTATAAAAAGAATACATAAAATAACATTTTTTTTGTTTTGACAATGAATGTTATTCTAATAATTATTTCGTAATAATGAATTATTTTTAACGGTATTTGTATATGTTACTTTACCTTTACCGTTACGTACCTTTAGTTTCGAGAGAGGAATGAGATATTTTATCGGACTCTTCATATGATCTATAAAAGCCGCTGGCGCCAAACTAATCATTATTTGCACCTTTTGTGCGATTTCCGGACGCTCTGACGCCATTACATAAAAACTGCTTGTGCCCATCGAATGACCAATGTACGTGTGCAATGGTTGAGATCTCATATTCGTGATAAATTTAATCATCGCGGATAAATCGTAGATGCCCATCTCATGAAAACTATTGAAAAATATTCTCATCAAATATATAAAGTATAAATTATAATTGTTGCATGTATATATAATGTATGAAACATGCACGTATACAGAATTTATAAGGTATTTTTGCATTTCTTTTTTTCTAAAGAAGTAATAAACATTTTTCTACTTTGACAAAATTTATGGAAATAAATAATCGAGATATCTCATTTTTTAAATCAATAATACATTTGCTATTCTTGATTTTTGAACAAAAATTATTGCCTACAAGTTCTATTACGCACAAATAACAAAATAAGAGACGGAAGACCCCGATGAAGTTTCGAAAAGTACTCACCCCCGATTTTTTGTGTTAAAAGTTTTATTTTAATTCTGACACAGACATGAGATATCTCGAAAATAATGCATTTTCGGAAAGTAAAGGAAAAATATGCTTATTGTTTGACAAAAAATATAGCTGTAGTCTATATACTACCAAGATAGAAACTTTATACACTTATATTAGAATATAATCAGTATCTTATCTATATAAGATACCTTACATATATTTATATTATAGATAAAGTTTCTAGGTATAAGTGCTGTTTAAAAAACTATTGCGTGTATGTGTATGACATACCATACAGCATTTAATTTTGGAAATTAAAAATATATACATATATGTATAAAAGTATATAAAAAAAAAAAATATATATATATATATAAGTATTTATATTGTCCAAGTTTAGCATATAAATTTACTGTTGTTTAATGCCAATTTAATTTTATCGCGTTACAAATGCATTATTTTCAAAGTATATTTTATTATTATTATTATTTTTATTTTATTATATTTTTTTAATATTTTTATTTTATGTACCTGAAATCCCAAAATGTCGAATTTGATGGAGATAGAGAAATATGCGCCCTCGAGTAAGTATTACCACGAAAATTGCCCAACCAAACATCATATCCCTGATCCGCCAATAGATAAGCTGTAATAAAAAAATAATTTTGCAATACTTATTGCATTATTTGTATCTGTTATTAAATAATTTATATTTTGTTACATATGTACATTTTAATTCTTTATAATATTTTCACATGATAATATTTTTTTAATAACAGATTAAGACAATCTATAATGTTCATTATTACCCGATAATATTAATAAATAATTTTTATATATTATTTATGTAATATATGTTATTTAAAAAATTATTATATGATATATTATATATTGATAATTTAAAACATTTTGGAAATTATTTTATAACATATATATAGAATTTTTAAATATGTATTACATTTTAAATTATACATATATTTAAAATAAATTATTTCATTTATCGGATAATAATATAAAAATTCATTATAAATTAATTCATTATCTTAATCAATTATTAAAAATATTAAATACACGCACATATTTATATATATTATATACATACATCATAAAATAAATTTTAAAATTCTTCGAAAAGTGAGATACATTAAAAGTTACATTATAATTAAAAATTTATTTGAAAGTTTATTTTGACATATTTACTGTTTAAAGGAAATAGCTCTTTCTTCAATAGAAGAATAATCAACAGTATTATCTGAGAATATTTATTAGAATTGTACCTAGTGCTTTGCCTTTGCCAAGAATGACCCAGTCGGCGGAGGTGCATAAGAGACCGTGTTGCAATAAGACAGGTAAAGAATCATTACCACCTGGGATGCGATGTAATGTCAAGAGATAACCGTCCTCCGTCGTTATAACATGAGCTTCTGCGGGATAACCAGTTCTCCTTATTATTTCCAGCTAAAAGAAAAGTCGATAAAGGAAGCATTCTCAAAAGTTCATCTAAAATTGTATTTATTGTGTAAATAATGGAGCAAGTTTTTGCATTAAATATGCAGAAATATGTATTAAATATCGATATATAATTAATATAAAAAGTAATTGTTAAAAAAATTAAAATAAAATAAAAATTAAGTATTAATTATTTAATTAAAATTTGTGCGGGGGTCCATTTGATTGAGTAAAGTATAAAATTTGATAGAAATTATTTCTTTCTGGGTGACTTATTATAGAAAATTCTTACTTTTTTATATTTATCTCTAGAATCAGTTAAATTATCTTAATATGATTATATCATAATCATAATACTTATATATAAATATATATTTAATTTTGTCTTGAAAAAATAGATATGTAAAATATACTATAAATATATATATATATATATATATATATATAAAGAATTTAATAACAATTAAAAAATATTAATAATTGATTATTAAATTGATTTTAAAAAACAAACTTATATGACTATCAATGTAAATCTAATTATAACAAAAATGTAAAATTTTCGTGAAATTTATATTTTAATTGTGAATCAAAGCAAAATTATTTTTTGACAACGTTAAGAAATTTAAGCTATATAATTGAAATATTTTAATAAAGATTTTAATTTTTTATGAATGAATAAAAACGTGCTTACCGTATTCAGATCGATATCGGGATTGTAATAAGTGTCGTTCGACTGATTCCATTTGCTAATAAATGGTATTTTTTTGACGAACCCATTTATTGTTAACATATTTGCAAGCGCTGCATCGGAAAAACTGTAGAACATTAGCAGACAAACGATCACGGTCAATTTCATCGTCGATTCAATAAATTATTAAAAAAAAAAAAAAATAAAAACACTGTAGAATTTTCCGAAGACTTCAGAAAAAAAGCAAAAAACACGAGAGCGATCCGAACAATTGAAGACAACTGTCCAGAGCTGCTCTTCACATGCTGCTTTGTATTAGAATGAATCACTTTTTGTTTGATTATGTTTTATCAGTCTGAGAGGGGAAGAAGAAACGAGAGAAGAAGCATTATCGCTTCATTAGTCATCTGATCAGGACAATGAAAAATATATATGTACGTACATATACATACATATACATATATATGTACGATATATGTATATAAATTATAATTAGCATTTGAAAAACACGACGTCTTACATACATAGCGTAAATACCGGATGTCTCAAACCATTACATCCCTTTTCTTTCCAAAACTAAGAATTTTAGAGAAAAACGTTTTAGACAAAAATTGTATGATTTTGAGGGGAACATAAGATGGTGCGCATTGATTTGACCTTGAAATGTCATTTAAAAATCATGTGAAGATCAATTTCAATTTCTTAAATGGAACTACCTATTTTTCATCACATATTCTTGTAGGTTATCTCAACAGCTTTCCGAACCCTTATAATAATGTATTTTTTCATGGAGTACTCTTTGAGTTATAAAGATTTGAAGCTAATAATTTTTTGACATAAAATATAAAATATTCAATTTTCGATAATCATGCCTTAATATTTTTCTGCACAGTATAATAAGATCAATCAATTAGTATAAAGCAAACAGATAATTGTTTTAAAAAGAATATGTAATATTCAACATGCAGCTGCATACTTCTTTTATAAGCAACTGTTTTTTAACACCAATTGATTGGTCTTTAATAAATTTGGCATAAACTACAATACTTTTTTTTCCACCAATTAATTTGGGCTTTACATGTATATTTATTCTCGCAATAGCTAAAAAATATGTTAGAGTAGTTTATACTTCTTTTTATCGAATTTGTAATAAAATCATCTCAGCCAGATTCTAAATGATTATATCAATCTTGATTATATCAATCATATTTTTCTTTATCAATTATATTTTTTAGAAAACTAACAATTTAACTTTATCTTATTTATATAATACATTCTTTATATTTTTTCTTATCATTGGGCATCTTACTATAATCTGTAAGATTAGTTTGAGTTCAATAAACATGTAAGCGGCGATTCTATGATTAGTAATTTTTTACACAATTTTTATCTGAGTTGTCTTTAAAAATATATCAATACTTATTTAAAAAATTTCATCTTACATAAAGCTGATATATGTGATTCTTTTTAGCTATCAATGGAGTTTAATTATATAACTTTGATATATAATTCGATAATTTTGTTCTACTAAATCTGAAGAAAACATGAAGCACAGATTAATATAAAAATATAAAAAACAAAACTAAAAACATGTTTGTTCACGGCATAATACATTTTGTACTATACATATTATTTGTGAAATTCTCATTTATGCAAATACTATAATTAAATAATAAATAAATATTAAATCTACTGCACACGACACACCAACACTTTTGCACAGACCTACTCTTGAATATTCGCTCGTTTAACCTTGTTACCACTTGTTACGGGCACTCATCATAATGTATTTATAGAGGAATATATTTCTTATTCTCATCTTACACTCAACAGATCACGTGATAGCCTTTAGATGCGTTTTAACTAATTAAAAATAATGTTTGCTGAGATTCTGAATTGCATATAAATTGTTAATGTATTTTTTTTTACTGTCTAGGGGAAGAAAGTCCACATTTCATATAATATTTAATATAATATATGATTGCTTAGTAAGCAAGAAATACATATTTAATCAACATTTTAAAATGTTGATTTTATATAAATTTTCTAAACATTAGGATATAATGTTTTATAAATATGTTTATAATATTTAATAAACGTATAAATATTTAAAAAAATATTTTTAATGATGTTTTATAAATGTTTTTAATAACATTGCTCTGAAAATATTAATAAAATATTTTAAAAACGTTAATAAAGACTTAGAAAATGTTATTTCAACATTATCGAAACCTTTAAATCGATGTCAAAGTTTGTTCATAATGATGTTGCATACAATGTTAAAAACTACATACTTGACAACATTATTATGTTAGTGAAAATCATTATAATATAGCAATGATTTTTTGTTTACTGGGTGTATATATGTATATATTATATATACAGAGTGTCCCAAAAAGACAAAATATATTGTATATGTATATTTCGAAAAAATATATACCTATGTATATTTAGATAATTTATAATAAATATAAAAAATATAAGTAATTAAATATAAGTAATTTTATGTCAAAATGTCTCATAACTTTTTAAATAAGCATAAAAATTGTTGGTTAAAGATCGTCGTATTTGAACTTTTTTGCTATCAAGCTTGCAGTCTGTACTTTAAAAGGCATTTAACAAATTTTGAATTTATTCTTTTCTCCATCCACCATCTCTTCAAAAGTAAAAACATGTTTTATTTCCAAAAAATTGCATAATTTTATACACTCCATAGGGTAGAATAAATTTATTTTCGCAAATCTTATAATCATTATTAAATGTGGATTTTATCTTGCAAATTAAAAAAAAAATAAGTTTGTATAATCTTTTTGCAAAGTTATTACGTATCAAAATTATCCATACATTTTTGTTTATTTATCAATATTACTCAATGCACATCACAAAAAAATTGTTGACTGGATTTGGTATATTGTATTAATACGATAATTTTTGTAAATAGTATATAGTAGTAAATTAAAATAACTATTTTATAAATAGTATATTTTTCTTTTAATTTAAATTTTTAGGGCTATTTTTTAAAGTATGTAAAATTCTTTCTCACTTTTCTCGATATATCTCCAACAAACGTCACATTTGATCAAAAAGCCGTTCCATTTTCTCGCAATTAAATATTGCATAATTAATTCCTTTTTTTCGATATTCTTCGCTGAGTTAAAACTTACGTGCAACACATAAAATTCTACAATAATTTTAAAATTATTTATGTATACAATATAAAAAATATTTTTATAACATAAATGTTTTGTAAGTAGGTTTTTTCTAATATTTTTCTTTTTATCGGAAACAATAAAATTTCTTTGGCTTAAAGGGGTCTTTCAAATAATACGTATTTTTATATGACCTGCCTAAAAGAAAAAAAACATATTCCTTTAAAAGAAAATGTGTAAATTTGTTTCCAATTTATTACATATTTAAGTCTGTGACAGAGATATATGGAGAAAATAAAGATCAAAATGACGATTATAATAAATTTGTAAATACTTTTACGTTAATTCTTTTAAAATAAGTCTGTCTTTCTTTATGTGTAACAAATATAAGGTCCTAAAAAATTAGTTTCTTTACAAATTGTACATATATAAATTATTCTTTAGAAGTTGTTATATTTTACTTTCTTTTTTTGAAATAAATATATTGATCATTATTCTTTTCTTCCGCTGCATCTTTCCGCCAGGAGTAAATAAAATGAACAAAAGACAGATTTGCCTTTGTTTCGGTTTAAACATTTTTTTTGCAGACGATAAAATTTCTGAGAAACTCGGGAAAATAATTTTTCTCAAATGATCCTAAGTCTCTTTGCTTTTTTCTTATAATCTTTCAAATAGCCAAAAAGATTTATTGTTTGTCAAAAAAATTCTTTAACGAAAAAACAAAAGTAAATTTATCTTTTATTATTTTATCTGTTTCTGACAGAAAAGATTGTATAATGCGAAAGAAAATTATGTGTTCACAATATAATAAATGGATCAATAAACGTATTAAAATTTTTACACAAATTGTTCTTTAAATTATATTTATTCACTTATCATGTTTTTTCATCTTTATATTAACTTTTATTATATTTATGTATTATATTGTAGCTATCCTTACAATATTATTCTTAATTCTCATTTTTACTAATTAGTTCTACTCTAAATTGTAAATAATATTAAAGTATAATAAATTTATGTTTCATTGAATTAATAATTCCTGAACTGTCATAAATCGTATTTATTAGTAAAGATATGTAACATTTATCTATTATTTTAATTATCGACGTATCATTATTTCGTAGTTGTAATATTATTTGGATTCTCTTCTCTCATGATCTGGAGAATTTTTTCGTATACAAGTTGAGGCGCATCGTTGGCCCATAAAAAGTCCAGATGATTAAATTTGGGCTCCGATATTTGATATAAGTCCATTACGTTGGGTAATACATGGGACAACCTCTTCAAATCCTTAAAAAATCGTTTTCGCGTATTATTTTACACAAAAACTACTACTCTTTTCTGTTTCATTTTATATACAATTTAACGCAAATTAATCTCTATTGCATATGTATTTTTATTTGAACATCAATTTTTAAAAAACAGTAAAAAAGTAATAAAAAAAATATAATTGTATAATACATATATAGCTTTTTTATTTTTATACATGAATATATTTTTTAATATAAAATATAAACTTTTATAAAAACAAATTAAATTTTAAATATAAAATACTTAATCTTTCAGATTTTTTCGTTACCTACCATCGAGCTGATCACCTTGTCATCGTCGGAATAGAACAAAGCAACTGGTATCGTGATATTTGCTAGATCATATTTCGGAGGCTCCACCGAGTTGTATATCACGAGATTTTTCGCGCGACCGTAGTCATATTGACGAAACTCGCCCGATTCAATTATCTGAGCGAAATGCGCCGTCGTCTTAATCGAGGCACCGGCCGGAAAGTGACTGAAGATGACGGGCAGCAGAGTCTAAGTAAAAAAAAAAAACATAACATGTAGGATAAGATGACTATAGTTTTTTTAAATGCAAGAAACATATTTTTATTTTTCATTAATAACTGGGAATTTATTTTTATTTTTGTTATTTTTTTAACAATATTTGAATATTGTCGAAATCAAACGATAAGTACTTGATAGAATTTCTATTATCAAAATATTTTATATTATCAAAATTTTTTATTATGAAAAAATATTAACAATTTTAAATATTAAAAATTTATTTGATCAAAATATTAATATTCAATTTACATTATAATTTGAAGCGTGATCATACAAATCACGGGACGAAACGACTTTAATCATCATGTACTTGTATTTTGATGACGACATTCACAAAATTATTACTTACGTGATTAAACTGTTCGCGATTGGTACCGAAAATCATAGATATCACATTGTTGCAGAAATTTTTATTTTGATCGCAATTATTTCTTATGATAGATCTCAAGAAATTATCCGGCAAAAGTTTGCCGTGAAAGAAAAATCCCATTACTCTCTGCAATCAAATATTTCTTATTAGTAGCTGTAGCACAATTAACAGGACGTAAAGCGTTAAAAATGTAATATTTTTGTATTTAGAATCAATTTGTTTAAACATTTTTAAAAAGAAATTTTCCGGATAATGATATCAATATTAAAAGTACATTGCATTTGTTATATTTTAATGATAATATAATTTTAATATTATTAATTTTAAATATTTAAAATTAGTTAATTAATAGTATAATTAATTAATATTAATTAATAAAAATATTAGTAATATTAATTTTCCATATTTTATATTAATATTAGTATATCAAATTTTTATTATAAATCTAGTGATTTTATATACATTTAAGTACATATTATATATGTGTTTTATATAATTTAATGTTCTTGTAATGTCATTAGTTAAATGTAAAAAAAATATACAAAATGTTGGACTGTTTAAACATTATTTTTAAATAAAAAAAAATGATTTATTACAATTTTGTATACTCGATTAAGACAACGGCGCATTTCGCTCAAATAATTGAATCGGGCAAGTTTCGTCAACATAAACATATAGTTTTAAAAATAAATCTCAAATCATTTTTATTATAAAACATTATTCCAGAATTATAAATTTCTTATTCTGTAATCAAAAAATATGAAACTATACAGATTGATAAATATTTTTCCTGTACAAATTAAAGTATTAATAATTTAATTTAATTTAATAAAGTATTAATAAGGATGTTAAGAGAAGGAACAGGGGGAATTTTTGAGATCCCAACCATAGGATTCAAATTCCTTTCCAAAAATGTTCTTTCCTTCATAATTGTCGCAATAACATCGCGTTTAGCTCTATTGGTCGAGAGGAATCAAGTGGAAATTGTGGCTTTAAAATTAAAAGAGCTGACTAAATAAGTATTCGCATTAAAGTATTAATATTAACAAAGGGCGAAAAGCGTTCTAATTTCAGGTAAAAAACAATCCATATAGCCAAAAAATAGATTTATAGTTTATCTAACAAGGGACCGTAACAAACTGAACAATAGCTCCAGCGTAGACAAAATTATCCAAGCATCTTGACTCTCTTTGCATCACTTTCCACCCAAAAACTAGACCAGAAATGAAAGAAATACAAATAATAAGATAATAAAATAATTTTTCTAAAATTTTTTTTAATTTATCCGAGCATCTTAACTCTGTTTGGACTTTCCATCCAAAAACTAGACCGAAAATAAAATAAATATAAATAATAAGATAATAAAATAATTTATTTTTAATTTTTCGATGCCTGTCGTGCTTCCTCGTTTTTTATTTTATTAGTTTTTTAGTTTTTGGGTGAAAAGTGATCCAAACAGAGTTAAGATGCTTGAATAAATTAAAAAAATTTAAAAAAAAATTTTAGAAAAATTATTTTATTATCTTATTATTTGTATTTCTTTCATTTCCGGTCTAGTTTTTGGGTGGAAAGTGATCCAAAGAGAGTCAAGATGCTTGGATAATTTTGTCTACGCTGTAGCTATTGTTCAGTTTGTTACGGTCCCTTGTAAGCTCGTATTTTGTCGATAAAAAAGGACAAAAACAAGACTTCTCAAAGCACCCGTCAGATTGCGGCCAAAACGTTTAGGATCCCCTTAAGAATAGTATTTTTTTTAAATGATATTCTCTAGGGATGTGTTTATATACATACATATTTTATATATAGTGTAAAAATAAGACATAATATACCTAATTTTCTTTTGTTGACAAAAAGAAATATTGTTATGAACAGTTATTATGTGGTAATGAATTCTTTTCATTTAACACAATAGCTTCACATATTACTTTACCTGTAATTCTTTTTGTAAGAGACCAAATATCGTATTGGACTTTGCATATGGTTTGTATAAACCGCTGGCGCAAGGTTGATCATCATTCGCACCATTTGAGCAATTTCCGGACGCTTTGACGCCGTTATATAAAAACTGGTTGCACCCATTGAATGACCGATGTATGTATGCAATAGTTCCGATCTCATATTAGTAATAAATGTAATCATCGCGGGTATGTCGTAGATGCCCATCTCATTAAAACTGATGGAAAATTTGATTTATCATAAAATATGTTTATATATATATATATATATATATATATATATATATACATATATACATTTATATATGTATAATCGAATATGTATATACATATATAATATAATAAAATATTATTTACACATAAATCACAAATAAGAAAGGCTTAAAGAGCCATACGCGGATGTTGCTGCGTACATTTTCAACGAAAATTAAGTTTTCTTTGAAAATAAACCATGCACAAGACGCGTATCCTTTTCGGTGTACTATCAAGACTTAAATTATTTACATATTTGTGATTAATATAAATATAAAATATGTAAATATAATATATATATCGTTACTTACTGAAAATAGAAAATAATATACTCAGTCAAAAAGAGCGGTACAGTAGAAAAATAAGATAAATTGTGAAAAGACTTTGAATATAACATAGTTAATAATTTATTATAAGATAAGTATTTAAAATAAATATTGTATATATAAATATATGTACAAGCAAACATTATATATATATATATATATATATATATATATATATATATGTATGTATAAGTTTAATAAGTTCTTGTGTTTTGTGCCAAATAGAGTTATTATAATAGTAATGTGTAATATATATTATTTTCAATGCATTCTTATTTTACGCAAATACCTGAAATCCCAAAATTTTGGATCGGACGTAGATAAAGAAGTGTGCTTCCTCGAATAAATATTACCCCGAAAATTGCCCAACCAAACATCGTATCCTTGATCAGCTAATAGGTAAGCTAAAATAAAAAGGAAATTGTTTGCAATATTTATCACATAATTTATTTCGTTCATACACTATTTCTTATTATATAATGTTAATTTCCAATTTCTTCAGGCATTTTTCTTGAGGCAGAAATGTTATTAACGACGATATACATATATATCGTTTTAATGATCGATTAAATGGTCATACGTAATGCTTTGTCTTTGCCAAGAACAAGCCAGTCAGCGGAGCTGCTTAACAAACCGTGTTGCAATAATACAGGTAAAGAATCATTGCCACCTGGGATACGATGTAATGTTAAAAGATAGCCATCTTCCGTCATTATAACGTAAGATTCCGCGGGATAACCTTCTTTTTTTATCATCTCTGGCTAAAAGAAAAAATTGAGTAAAAAGAAAGATAATAATCTACAATAATTGATTTAAAACAAATATCATATACTTCTTCTTGCAAATTTATTTCAATTGTCAAATCAAAATTATTTTAATTAAGTCAATTTTAGATTTCCTTTTTTAGTCAATCTTTTTTATTTTTATTCTTTTGAATCACTGCATTTGAAATTAATCACTTTTACGTATATATATGTATTTTACAATTATAATATGTATATATACGTAACTTTATTTTTTTATTATTTTTGCAGACTACTATAAGTATTATTAAAGTGAGAGACATAATAGCGTATATGTATTCCACATATTATTATTATACATATTTTAAGATAGGAAGAAAGTATAAAATTTAAGATTTTATTGAACAGTATACTAATAAATAAATATTAAATCGGCTCTTAAAAAAAAAGAATATAAATATATTATTTTTTACATGTTATTGAAGATGATGTATAATTTTGCGGAAAATTTCAATTTTTAATAAAAAAAAATGGCAATCGTGGCTTAAGATTATTTTAACCATTTTTCGACAGCATCGAAAAAATTTATTCAATCGAAATAATGAAGATTTTAACCTTTGTTTTTATGAAAGTAAACTCACCGTACTTAGAATATTAGAATTGAATTTGGTATTGTTCAACCAATTCCAGGTAGTCCCTCTTATTCTCCTAATGAATGTGCTTGGCTCAAAAGTCACTTGCGGTGACATCGATGCCGCATTAAGGCAACCGTAAAATGACAGCAAACATATGATTCCGAGCAATCTCATCGCATTGATGAGTGATTCAATAAATAATAAAATAAAACGGTGAGATTATGAAGAGTTTTCTGGAATATCAAGGAATATATGTTAAAAAAAATTCACACGCGAGAACGAAATGAATACGACTGCGAGTAACTGCTCTTTGCACGCTACTTTTAAAATAAATCGTCGACGATTATGTTTGTCAAGAAGAAGAAAAAGAGGAATTACATCACGTTATTATCGTCTTACGACATTAAACATTTCGAGAAATATATATGTGCAAAAGGTAAATTTTCGGAGAGTTATATACACACACTTCTTCAATAGCTCCAAATTAATTTTATTATAATTTTTAATGCTTACGATTTTCGAATTATTTGCATTTTAATTAAAAACAATTTTAAATTAGTGCAATGTTTTATTTTTAATGCCTGTTTTACTATTATAATATATGTATATAAATTGTATTAATTTCTTTAGTTACTTTAAATAGATTATATTTTTTTATTTTTTAATTACTTTAAACTTTATCTTTTACTAATGAATTCTTATAGCTTCAAATAATTCGTATTTTTTAACAGAGATTATTTTTTAGCAATTATAAATAAAATTCTGTTTTATTTTTATAAAACATTTTGTTTTTCTTATTATATCTAGTGCATATATTGTGTTGGAATTATATTGTTTGAAGTAAGTGCGTAATGTGCAAGGTTTTAAGCAATCATTGTTTTGGCATAACAATGGATCATTGCGATGAATATGCAATACAACAAATATTTACAAAGTACGATATAAAGACGTGTGAAAAGATGCTAAATAAAAATAAAATTCTTACATCAATTTTTGCGGTACAAAGTATACCGAAAAATATAACTCTCTTCTTACATGTATTCTACTTTTTTTACCATTGTATTATTATCTGACGATGTTTGATTAATCGAATTTCGATAATATTTCTGTACGTGTTCTATCTTTACTCGACAGTGAATAAGCACTGTTTTATTTTTACGCAAATTTTGTTGACTTTTATAAATTGTACATGATCATTTTTTTTCTATTACATATGTATTTTTTTGCTCTTTTATCTGATATGTGTCAAAAATACTTGGAATTCACTATTTCTTTATCACAATTACAAAATATGAAACATTTCTTATGAAGAATATAAATATATCGATAAAGATACAGGCATGTGTATAAAATAATAATGATCGGTTTTCTCGCCAAAGGTCGGATTGCAAGAAAGCATATAGAAATATACTGTATATAAAATTATATATTATATATTGATATACTGTATATAAAATTATATATTATATATTTATATTATATTTAAACAATTTTTTTCACAGCAAATTCGAATTGTTTGTAAATATACATAAACTGATTAATAAGTGTATGTATGTTAAAACGTAAAAAATTGATGTAAGAATTTTATTTTATTTAGCATCTTTTCACACGTCTTTATATCGTACTTTGTAAATATTTGTTGTATTGCATATTCATCGCAATGATCCATTGTTATGCCAAAACAATGATTGCTTAAAACCTTGCACATTACGCACTTACTTCAAACAATACGAAAATATTGAAATATCATAAATAAATGTAAATATTAATAATAATATTATAATATTAAAAGAATTAAATATTAATAATATGATATTAAAATATTTATGAAACATTATAAATAATATCATTAATTTGTGTTTTATTGACTTAATCATTGTGACTGCAATCAATTGCAATCAACTAATTTATTGCAATATTGATCATTTATTTTGATTGTCGATGTAATTAATTTGACATATTATTTAAATATTTTTCAAAAAATTATTCAAAATGTAATATTGTTTAAAAAATTTACAAATCTTAAAATCGTCATCTTAATTTTCTCTTTCCAACATATCTTTTTGCCATAAACAGATGAAATCAATAAAAAAGATTTACCTGTGTTTTCTTTTAAAAGAACCTTTTTTGGAGAAGAAAACAATAAAATTGGGAAATTTGAAAAGTCATAAACAATGCATCAGGGAGATTCAAAGAATTTATAATCGTCATTTTAGTCTTTATTTCTGTTATACCTATGTCTGTTCTCTTAAAAGAATATTTTTGGAACAATAAATCTTACAGTTTAAGAAAGCAATATATTTTTTTGATACTTATTGTTAAAACATACATAAAGAGGCATTACCTGAAAGACCTTCAAGCTTAAAGAATTTTTATTGTTTGCACAAAAGAGAAAGTTCTTTTTGAATTTAGAAAACACTACTTACGAAAAAATTCATGTTACATATAAATATTTTTATATTATATATATATACATATATATTATACATATATATATATACAAATATATATATAATTACAATATATCAGTATCTATTATGTTTCTCTCCATTTTTCGTTTTTTTTTGTGCACACGTGACAACTATAGTGAGTATGGTGGGGAAAAATACAAAGGGCTTTTCAGGTATATATTAGGTCTAGAATCCAGAATAAGGGTAGTCACACTGTACAGGACTTCTGTTATGCACGTAAATACGAATTTGTAAAATCCACAGACGCGTTGGTTGAGGACAACATATCGTAATAGATTTAAACAATTTTCACAGACAAAATTAATTATACGAGAATATTTTTACGATCATATTAAATTGCATTTTTATGTGTGTGCTTTTCTGAAGTGCTCTTCTATAATGGCTACGATAAAGGATTTACCTACAGAATTGATAGACATCATTCTTGGCAATGACATCAGTATTGAAGATGTTATTAATTTTAAATCAACATGCAGACAATTTTGGTTGGCACCACTATACAAAAAGGATTGGGAAAAAAAGTTTTCGAAGAGGTATGTAATGCTGTGCTTCTAAATTTTTTTTGTAATTTTATTTTTTATAATTAAATTTTCTTGCACACACAATGTATCATATTTATGTGAAAGATATTTTTATTTGTTTTATTTATTTTATTTTTATAAAACGGAAATAAATAAAATATATATAAATAAAATAAAAGAGATAATACAACAAGTACACATAAGAAAATTTTAATAAACAATACAAATACTAAAACAAATTAATTTTATTTAATAAATGAAATTATATTTATCATTAAATTTAATAAAATTAATAAAATTAAAGAAAATTTTGTAGGAAGTAATTGTTTTGTCCTGTTCTTTCGACACATTTACGTCTCTTATATTTCCGCGTTTCCTATCCGCTTTTATAATAAAAACAAAAAATATAATAAAATGTAAATATTTACAACAAATTTAATATAATAATAAAATCTCGACGGCAATCGGAGCCTGTGCGGATGACATGCACAAAATTAATAAATTAATAAAAAACCACTCCTCAATGTTTAAAGTCGACCAGACTGGCAATAATTTATTATAAATAATTATTTGAAAAACAACGTTTCGGCTGTCATTGCAGCCCTTTTCAAGTACATCTATAAAAAGTTCCATCAAAATAATTATAATTTAATACACTTATTCGCAACAATTAATTATACATTTAAAAACAAAAACGTGTTACATACCAAATTTAAAACAGTAAATCAACTTCTATGCAAACCACCGACAATGTTAACGCTTGTTTTGATGAACAATGCAAGACTGACAGAAGTAAGCACATATTAAATAGATGTTAACTGTTCGCAAGAATCTTAGTCACTAAGCGTTAAGAAAATAGAGACGAAACTAAATGTGTCTTTCGTAATTTAAATCGTCATAATAAAGTCAAATAAATAAAAATAAATAAATAGGTGGATATAAAAATAAAAATAAAATTAAAAGTAAAAATAAAACAACTTAAATAACGTCAAGAACACGATCATAAATCCCACTGAAATTCTCCGTATCTTTCTGTAAATTAATACTTTTTCCTTGTTTTTTTATGTAAAACATTTCTGCAATTTCTCTTTTTCTTGTCTGTTTTTCCTCATGCAGAATCACCGGAGAATCCCAACGGAACTCATGATCGTTGCAAGTCCGATGTAAACTAACAACAGAATGTAATGTCTTGTCTTTTTTTATGTTATTTCTATGTTCTTTAATGCGCGTTTCTAAATGTCTCTTTGTCTGTCCTATATAAGCCGAATCGCAATTCGCACATTCAATTTTATAAACAACATCAGTTCTTTTTAAGCTTTCGATCCCATCTTTACCTCTTTTTATCATTCAAAGAGACATTTAGAAACGCGCATTAAAGAACATAGAAATAACATAAAAAAAGATAAGACATTACATTCTGTTGTTAGTTTACATCGGACTTGCAACAATCATGAGTTCCGTTGGGATTCTCCGGTGATTCTGCATGAGGAAAAACAGACAAGAAAAAGAGAAATTGCAGAAATGTTTTACATAAAAAAACAAGGAAAAAGTATTAATTTACAGAAAGATACGGAGAATTTCAGTGGGATTTATAATCGTGTTCTTGACGTTATTTAAGTCGTTTTATTTTTACTTTTAATTTTATTTTTATTTTTATATCCACCTATTTATTTATTTTTATTTATTTGACTTTATTATGACGATTTAAATTACGAAAGACACATTTAGTTTCGTCTCTATTTTCTTAACGCTTAGTGACTAAGATTCTTGCGAACAGTTAACATCTATTTAATATGTGCTTACTTCTGTCAGTCTTGCATTGTTCATCAAAACAAGCGTTAACATTGTCGGTGGTTTGCATAGAAGTTGATTTACTGTTTTAAATTTGGTATGTAACACGTTTTTGTTTTTAAATGTATAATTAATTGTTGCGAATAAGTGTATTAAATTATAATTATTTTGATGGAACTTTTTATAGATGTACTTGAAAGGGCTGCAATGACAGCCGAAACGTTGTTTTTCAAATAATTATTTATAATAAATTATTGCCAGTCTGGTCGACTTTAAACATTGAGGAGTGGTTTTTTATTAATTATTACTGGCAACCTTAAGGATTATTATTTATATTAATAAATTAAAATGAGATCTCAAATCAAACTCATTTATTAAATTCTAAACGTTTCGACCCACTTCGGGTCTTCTTCAGTAGCTGCAAAATACAAAGAAA